TTTAGAGTTTTGACTCCAAATTTTACCTCAGTGAGTTGTGTGTGTGTGTGCGCTCTGTGGGTTTCTAATCAAATGCCTGTTCAATGTTTCTTTCCACACTCATTTTATACATGCAAACTGTATATTAGGTGGCTTATTTCTCAATGCAGGCTAATGTCTCGCGAAATGTGGGGCAAAGAGGATGCTTGTGTGGGACAATCTAGGACACCGAGAGGTACATTTAGATACGCAGTATACAGCGTAGCATTGTGCCCATGAATATCAAAAATAATGTATCAAAACTGAATGCATTTTTTTCTAACTCCATCACTTGATAAATATTCATAAATGATTTTTTGGGTTTCTGGAACTCCTGTTTCCCTGTTAGTGCTTTTTATTTTAGTTATTTATCTATCTGGTTATATTCCTTTGGTTTCAGTAGGGATGTATCTGCAGCTCTGCACATTACTATTTTAGCTGCATGTTCTTATTTATTTATTTGTGGGAGTCAAGTGTTGACTCTTATAAACTGCAGTCAATAAAAACTGCCAGAATATTTGGGTCAGAAGAACAAGAGGTCAAAATTTTGTGCAGTTGCCTCTCTAGTGAGGAAGTTGTCATACCACACAGCAGCATTGTATGCTCTGCGTGCAGGTTTATTAATAATAAAATACAGAAAATAAACACAAGCTTGGACAGCGTAAACAAACAGTGGGAGCATTTATGGCCCCTGCAGTGTATTATTTTATGTCCTGTAGCCATAAAAACACGTCCTTCCATCAGTTTGTCAGTCTAGTACTACAAATTCTCATTGTTTTCCAGGGACATGCCCATTTGTGTAGCAACGATAAAAGGAAGTTGTCAGGTTTTATTTTCATTTTCCACATCTGTTCACTAAATTGGAATGTTTTGCAGGCCCAAAAGACCCAGAGGAGAAAGATTTACTGCTACAGAAGCTTTGATTATGAATTTTTCTGCATAAAATATTTTAAATCATAAACCTCTACAAACAAGACTCAGTCATTTTAGTCACTGTAACAGCTCGCTCGCTCGAGGGCTCGATAAATCTAGCAAAAAGAGAAAAAAATAACTCGTAGACAAACAGAGCAGTTACTAAGGTTTCCTTAAGTGCTGAAGGGAGCTACAGTTTCCTCCTCCAAGGAGCTGAGAGACACACTCCTTGATAGTTGAATGAAGTCATCCGGCCACTTGGTATACTCCAGCTGAGCCTTTGTGATGACAGAGCGATTGGTGCTTTCCACTTCTGCTCCTTGTAAAGCATGCTGTCAGGTTCCTGAATGCCTGACACCCTTTAAAATATGCAGTAACACTACTTTGGATTGTTTTCCAGTTGAGACCTGTCCATAGAGTTTTTGGGGTTGCTTATTTATTTCTGAGAAATTTCAGCTCTCCAGAATAGTGGCTGGCAAAAATCCAAAGAGCAGCGAGGTGTCTGCATTCAGTGTGTCTGAAAATAGCACAGAAAGATGGATTGTGTTTCAAACAGTGGGGCTGAGATGGCTGGCACGGCTCACTTTAAAATGTTTTATGTCCGAAAAAACCAGAATCTGTGTGAAGCTACATTTTTAACTCAGATTGGTCCAATGTCTGTATTTCAGACTGCAAACGGTCTATTTAAATGAACTTTGAAAGGCAGAAGCAAGATGACTACACATTGATATCGAAGCAGTTTGCCTGGAGCAGTCATTGGCAGTATGGGAGAACAGAGTGAAGACGTCAGGCTGCTTAGAGGCACCATCTTAAAACTCTTTGTTAGACATGTTCTTTGGCCAACTTCATGTTCACATGTGGTCACGACTTCCTTATTTTGGTAAGCTAAAAAAGCTTGCATGGAACAATTAAGGTTGCCACATGCAATGTTTTGTTTCTATATAGTTTTAAATGGTCTAAGCTGCTTTCCAGGGTGATTTTTTTTTTTCATGCAAATTCACTTTTCATTAGTTTATATATTAGTTTTAACTTATATCATGAATGCCATTTGTCTGGGGAGTTCAGTATAGTATTACTTCACACCCACGTGAACCCCTCTTCGGGCTTGCTGTGTTCAAATAACTGATATAATCCTGTTTCCTTAAGTTTAGTAGTTAATTTATAGTTAACAAGTTGTGACAATATCACAACACTGTGATATTGCAGTATTGTGAAGGAAGGGAGGGTCCACAGAGAGAAAACGGATGGACATCGGAGGACAACAGATGGCTGAAAACGATTAAAGAAAGAGAATATCAGCTCACCATGCTGTGCCTGTAGCCTGATGTCAGACAACGCTGTAAGTGTGTTTATACTCTGACTTTTATCCCAAGCATTTATGTGTGTGACTCAGCAGTGATAAAATTAGACCATTTGAGGATAATGCCTGATGATCTCGTGGCTTTATATTCCATTTTATGTTAACTAAAGATTTTTTTGTTCCACTTTAGATGCGAATGGCACCCAAAAATTCAACAAATGTAGAAAAGTAAGTGATGCTCACAGTTTGCTGGGGGAAGACCAAGTGATCCCACCCAGCAATCAAAACCTATGTCGGTGAAAGGAAGCTTATCTGTTATATTCTTATCTAAAATATTGACCTCAGATGATCCAGGGGTCTAATTGAAGGTCACCTATTGCCAAAAGCAGGACACCTTGGTGGCTTTGGGCCAACTTGGGAGATCAAGATGACCAGATCCAGACTGACACACCAATCTAATAAGAAAAGACTGGAAAAATACAAACTAGGTCAAAAAGGACTGACCTTTGGTCTTTCCATGCTGTTAGCACATGACTTGATCATGCCACTTCTTCCTTGTTATATCATGTCACTGTTTTATCTCTTTCTTTTTCAGGCTAATTTAGGTAACAGGGTTGCACGTGTGTTGTTAGACACAGCAGCAGTGCATAATGACTGTTCTTTAAAAATATGTTGATGTGAAAAAAATGTTCAAGAGACACGTGTCAACAAAATCATCAATCTTATTTTAACTAGTCTGTTAGACATGCTTATCAGAAGGCTATGGCAAAGAAAAGAAAAATGCTATTTTGGGCGGTTCTCATGAGCTATTTTGTATTTTAAATAATATTTTGGAATCACCTTTCCAACCACTAGGTTTACATTTTGTCCCAGGACAAGAGTAATTTACAGGACAAATGTATTATGTGTGTATTATGTACCTGCGCAGGGATTATTCTCAATTTTCGTGGGTCGGACAGAAAATGTCCTGCAATAGTAGAATGGCTTATTGTTTGTGTTTATTACGACGTAATACAATCTAAAGCTTGGCACTTAAATTTTTCATCTCATTAATTAAAACTTAAAATAAATTATTTAAAGGTTACGCAAATATAAAGTGTTTAAATAGCAAAATTTCAATCCTGAAGCATTAACCTAATGCACGGAGTTGCTCACTGTGAGCTTTAGTGTAATTAACAGTGCAGGAGGGTTTCAGGCAGGTTTTAGTGTCGCTGCTGATGAGCGCATTCTGACTGTGTACTAACAGTGTGATTGTGTGAAATGCTTTCCAGCAGCCAAATAGAAGCAGAGGCCGCTGTACAAGAAAACACTCCCCTCTGCACGTCGTAGTAAACCCAGGGTATGGATAGGCTCCGCCCATAAAAGGGTCTGACCAATCACAGAGCTTAAAACAAAGCCCTCTGGTTTGATTTGTAAAATTGACCTTGACCTAAGCGAATGGCGCAGCGCAAGGGGCGTGGCTAACAGCTAGTTCGGTTGCATTGGACGTCGCTCATCATCAACTTTTGCTACTAGACGAGCCTGTAAAAGCTAGTTAGCGGCTACAAAACACACACATTTCGTGTCTGAATTGTTCCCCGGTGTCGTGCATTTGTCCCCCTTTTAAAATTTCGGCTGGGACCCGGAGTCGTGAAGGAGCAGTAAAATTCCATAAGCGACGAGGAGACTCCATCTTCGGGGAGAGCCAGCGAGGCGGCAGAGAGCTAGCGGGCTTCGCTGCTGCTGCTAGGCTAACTTTGCCCCAGCCAGCAGAGCGAGAGCCGGAGCAGAGCGAGTGAGCGGCTTGCTGCTAAACGGTCAACCTGACGATACTTTCGTTGACTACAAAAGACTCCCAGGTAGGTTTGGGAAGCCCGCATAGGTGTGTCAAGCATGCATCGATGCGCTGGCTTTCATCAGCGCTGCGATGCAATCCTGTTACTGTAGCTGCAGGCCATAGCGCGAGCTCCCTCCGTCCCTCAGCTGATAACATATTTACCCTGCTAAGCTAATGGACTGGAAGCCCGTAGAAACACAGCCACATTCCTTTCTCACGCAACGATTTTATACTGTTCTTCATCATGATGCAACTCAGCAGCAGACCCGTTATATACGCAGCTATCAGGGCACCGGTGAGAAATTTAATGCAGGTGTTGTGTGATGTGCAGAAATGCAAAACTCGTAGCTGATTGTGGTTTGTTGTTGTTGTTGTTGCTGCTGCTGTCACAGCGTTACTTTGATGCCTGTGGTTTCAGCATGCTGATGGTGGGAGGCGATGGACGGAAGCACTAGAATGAGTGTGAAGGAGCTGTGTGAGACGGATGACCTGGCCACCCGCTTGGTGCTGGACCCTCTGCTGGGCTTCAGCACCCACAAAATGAACATCAGGTAATCTGACACACAATACAGCAATCATGGAGTCCAGTGACTATCCAGTGCTATGGTATGGCTGGCAAAGAGTGTGATCACTGCTGTTTTGCTGGCTTTTTTAAGGCTTCTTCTTAGATTTTTAGTTGGGTGGAAAAAATACGAAAGCAGAAGAAAGCAACTGATCTAAACTAATAATACCACAATAGGGTTAAGGGGTGAATTTCATTTTATAGTGAAATATAAAAATAAATAAATGTGAGAGTGAAAGAGAAACCATAACATGAGCGCTCACGTAAGGTGTACCTGATATCCCGTACTGGTGTTTTTTGTGCATCATCAAAACAATATTGGTCCAGTTTTAGCTTTGCACCTGACCAATCACATTGTTGTGATGTCATAGCTTTGCAACTTGAGAAAAAAAAAAAGACTGTTATAAGGATGTTATGAAGATGTAGGAACAAAACCCACATGTGGATATCAGATTGCGCTCCATTTCAACATTTCATTAATATTTCTTTATGTCAACAGCCGATTGTGTTGCGTTACATCAGTTTTGTGCTGGGAAAATGTCACAAAAAAAAAAATTAACAAAGAGCTGAAAAGACTTTAAAGCATGTCAGTTATTATTTATAATGTCAGTGTTTGTTTCCCCAACACAAAGGGGGAATTAATAACAACAAAGAAATATTATTAACAGAAAAACAATATTGACTCAAACTGTTATTTAAACGCTCAAGCAGCCGAGCTATTTTAGCGTCTGAAATGACAAAGCGGGGTCATGACTCATACTTCATACAGGAATAGAGCAATAATGGGTCTGCTTGTGGTTATCATACTGTTTCCTTTACCTGTAGCAGATCTTGTTAAATCCACCAATGCCTTTACTTATGTGTGTCCATATTGTTGTGTAATAAATAGTAAGATTAGATGAACCGGTGACGCCTTCATCAACAGCAGTGAAGTTTTCCTAATCAGGCTTTTTCTTCAGCCTTTGTTACTTTCAGGCTTCTGTTTAAAACAAAATCTTAACACGTATGTTGTTTTGATGTGTGTGGGTTTGCGCAGAAACATTCAAATTATTTATGTCACTTTGGCCAACTAATTTCTGTCAGTTGAGCTGTTTTACTTCAGGTGTTCAAGTGTCTGCCTCAAGGCTTCTGCAGCAGTAAACGGTGCTGCTCTAGTTCTGTTAGTCACGGTTGACTGCAGACCATTACAATGTCGAGATTAGAAGTGGAAAATAAAAGGAGAGCCTGTAATTCTATAAAAATACATACATTTCCAGGGTCATAAATGACTCTGTATAACTTTTCATTATCCTCCCAACACCAGTCGGCTAATTCCTGTTATTTGAAAGGTGGGGGGAAAAAAAGCTCTACATTTTATTAAAGTAAATTGGAAATGTTTTTCTCATTAGAAATATCACTACAGCACACAGAAATGTGCAGTTTGAGATCTAATTTAACTTTCTTTGGGCACTTGAAGGTTAATCACCAGTCCAGAATTTCGCAATCCATGCATTCCTATTAAAGCGGCCCCTGAGCTCTATAAAACTTTAAGAATACCAGGTGCTTCTGATTATGCTTTAATGCAGTGACACTTCAGGCCAACTGCGAAACCTGGACGTTCAGTGAAAGTTAATATATAATAACGATGAGTGGCCGAATAAAAGCTCACACCTCAGCAGTCATTAGAGAAAGTCATTAAAAAGAAAAACCTGAATTTTACTTTAATGAAGGTGTACGCAGCAGCATCAGTAAACTGCTGTTCATTTTCCTGAGAAGAAAAACAAGATTTTTCATGAGTAGTTTGACAACCGCTTATTTTAAAGCAGTTTTAATGAATGAGTTAAAGTGTTTGTAAAATTCTGGGTGGTGTTTTTCCTGCATGAAATGTATTTAAATCCACTTTAAAATGAATAATTGAAAATAATATAAGAACAGAAAAATGCATAGGCTTTTATTAAACAAGGTAAACTCTTTGCCCCATCTACATCCTGACCAGTCATACTTATGGGTGCAGCGACCTCCCAGAGGGCCGTGGAAAAACCCTGTGTGCACCTGTTGTGCATGTTTTGGTGCATCCATATTAAATACAGAAGTGAAGGAAGGATAGATTTCTGAGAAAGATGCACAGATATTTATTAATTGTTATTGTAGCTTATAAGAACAGAACTGTGGAACATTTAGTCCAAATATTTTTAACTGTGAGCTGATTTGGGTGTTTTTTTTGTGTGATTTTTTTTTTTTTCCATAATCAAAACATAATTGAGTTTCTAAAGTGTTTACAGTGTTGAGTTTGAAGGCAATAACATAAGTGCTACCTGATTTTATTTTATTTTTTTAAAGTTGATGGTTCAAAAATATATTTTGATGCTATATCTAAAATTCAGTGTTAAAAGGAAGCTTCTTAGACTCTTCTTATATCTGTCCCTCTGTCTTTGTGCAGTCCCCCACCAGAGATCCGACGTTGGGGTAACCTCAAAGAAACGCTTTTGCGGTTTCAGCGTACGCACGACTTCAACGCTACGTTTGAGGCTCTAACGGTGGGCGAGCTGGCTGGTGACTACTTTAATGCTTTGGGGAGCCATCGACAGGAGCTGCTGAGACAACATGTATGCATAAAACAAAAAATGTTTGTTATCATTTGACTTTATTGTCTATGCTCGGCGTGTATGTGTTTATCACCGATACTTGGATTTGTCACTCGAGTGTAACATCACAATCAAAAACCGTGTGTGATGTCTGCAGGTTTATCGCTACCTCAGTGCCTTCCTGTTGGATAGCGGTGTCAAGATAGAGTCCTGTGACAGATACTCCTCAGAGACCAACGGAGCCAAGATAACCTCAACTAGGCACTGGTATTCACACGCAGCAGCGTCACGAGCTGCCACTGCAGCAGCACTGCGTCCTGTACGGTGTTGTTTTTTTTACAACTGAAAATGTGATGCCTGAATCGTTCCTCGGCAGGTTTGTAGGAGAGCGGGTGGAGGTCCTGCTGGGCTGCATAGCAGAGCTGAGTCCTGCTGACAGTGCCGTGCTGAGGGCGGGAGTCAATGACTTCAGCGTGATGTATTCCACACGCAAACGCTGCGCTCAGCTCTGGCTCGGGCCTGCAGCTTTCATTAACCACGGTGAGTGTGTTTACCTTCGAGACTAGTGGTTGTACACATATATATGCATCTTAATGGAAATCTAGGCCATGCCTTCAGTATTACACTGTAGTTACTCTTAAAGTGGGCCTACTGCGTTTCTCTCTATATGTGTGCTGTTACAGTGATTGATACTGATTTACATTGAGCATGCCAGAGTTTCAGATAGTGTGCAAGCAGTCCTTTTAAAATTCAGAGATCTCAAATAGGATTTCAGGTTCAGATCATTTCACTTTGATTTATTATGATGAAGGTTTTTTGTTGTTTGTTTTTTTTTAAAGAGAATTTAAATGCTTTTTTTGTGTATTTTTTTTTTAGTCTGTGTTTAAAAATGTGTTTTAAAAGTTCTCCATGGTGACCAAATTAACTGATCATGATTTTAGCTGTCATTGAGCAACCCTTTATTTAAAGTTTGATTGTAATCATTGCTCAAATTTGAAATGCTGAGGCTGGTGTGCGTACAGTTAACTCTGTGGGCCGAAAGCCGAGGCTTCAGGCTGCTCTGAATGCTCCGTTTCAGATACGTTTCTGCTCTTTGCTTCTGTTACGATAAAAACAGGGAATATCTTGATCCTCGTGCTTGCTCTGATTGAGCAGCCAATCAGAAGATGTTGGCTTAAAAAGAGGAAAATGGAAACTAAAACAGAAAAGGAACTGAGGGGCTTTACCAAAGCGTAATAATAGATGAATAATTATGAATAAAAATAAATAAATAAATCATGCAAACCTGTGCTAAATATGGAGCTGGAAATGAGCATAATAGGCCCACTTTCGGTTCCTTACTCAAGCTGATGAATGTATATAATTCATAGAGAGCACCAAAACACATTTATCCTGAACTCGGTTTGCACTGCAGGGATAGCGGTCAATGTTTTGCACCCATGTCTGTGTCTTCATCATAATTATAGTGAGAAATTATAGGTTTCCTCATATGATTTATTGACTTTCTAGTTACAAGAGCGAGAAAATCATGTTAGCAGATGACATGTTGGTGCACAGTAATAAAGATTCAGGAGGTCTTTCATACCTCATGCAATAATTCTTTATTACACAAAACATCTGTCTAGCAGAGAGCAAATTGTCTGAGTTTATTTCGGCCCTGTGTTGTCTCAACACTTCACATCCTGTTATAGTGAACCACTTTAATGTGACATGACATATGCTGTGCATGTTTTCACTGCTGTTTCTTTTTGCTCTATTGAATTTGAACTCTTTTACTTTTCAAGCCACTTTGTCATATTATATTATATCAAGCTTTTTTTTAAGCATCTGATTGTATTTCATTTCGATTTAGACATGCTTTTCTTTTGCATGTTGTTTGTTATTTGAACCTTGTTGAGCTGTTTTGTTTTGTCAAATTTTATTTGTGTTGATATATTTTGTATTTGAGGTGTTCTGTTGTAGGTTCTGTTTAATGTTTCAGCTCCATATTTTAAACAAACATATCTTATCCTAACTGCAATTATGCCAAAGGCTTAGTAAAAACTGGGTCATTTTTTTCCATCAGAGGGCTATCTCTTTATTTCTTTAGTGAAAATAAATCCAATCTAAACCAGTAGATTAGCAAAATGTTGAGTTTTTTATTCACTGGTGTGATTTTATGAGTGACCTTATTTATCTTTCTTTTTCTTTGTCCCGTTGCACTGAAGACTGCAAGCCAAACTGCAAGGTAATCTGCAATAATAATTCTCTAAAATTGAAATTATAACATGTTATTTTCATACTAAATGTTTTATTAAGTGCAGATTTAGACCTGCCTTCTGCCTTCTGCCTCCTGACTGCTTTGTTGTTGTTGTTGTTTCCCACGGGCCATCCAACCTTTGTCTTTGTCTGTTTTTTTCCCTTCTTTTTCACCCGCCCAGTTCGTCCCCGGTGAGAAGAATATCGCTTGTGTTGAGGTGATTCGACCCATAGCACCTGGGGAAGAGATCACGTGTTACTATGGAGCCAGCTTTTTTGGTGAAGGCAATGAAATGTGTGAATGCTGCACCTGTGAGAGGTACGTCCATTATCTGATCAGACAGGGTCTTTATCAAAGTCTTTTTTTTCTCAGCAGATTTTATTCATCTAAGAGATGAAAACTCTGAACTTTTAATCTTTTTTTTTTTTAACTCTTCTTTAGGAATGGAGAGGGTCACTTCAAGCACAGAGGGAAACAGCCTGAAATCGAGGAAACAAAGGACCCCGTGGGCCAAAAGTACCGCCTGAGAGAGCGATATCTTCGTCATCACAGAGAGAGAGGTCACTTCTCTACAAGGCCAATAACACCAGGAATACACTCGGGAATCTTTAAAGGTAACCGGTTTGGGATTTTCCTACTAAAGAGCTTCTGGGCTTTCCCCAAAGCACAATCAGAGGGATTGCACATAAAGGGAAAATCCATAGATTTTTATTGAGTAAGGTAGCACAATACCTAAACTATATGCAGTCCTGTTGTGCTCAAGGCCACTCAGGAAAAACCCTGATGCTAATGTGAAAACACACAAATAAACAGAGTTTTTGCCTAATTTTTTTTTTTTATTAAATCCTATCCAGTTTTATTTATATAGCTCCAAATCACAGAGACAGTTGCTTCAAGGTCCTTTATATTGTAAAGTAAAGACTACATTAATGCAAGCCCCACAATAATACCTGGTACAGCTTAAATTCTGCCGTGACTGCATTGTTCAGATTAAAATTATTGGTCTGTTTAAAGTATATGCACATTTTCAGCTTTTAATTAAAACTGCAAAGCTGTCACGATACATACATATATGTATATACATTATACATATTGTAAAAATCTACATGGGGGACAGAAATCTGGTTTATAATCAGCAAGTTGACTTTTATACCACTTTAAAACTTGGATCATCTGCTGCTGAGAAGTCATCTAAGCAAGTGGTTACCTGTTAACGAAAAACTTCATCCTACTATTTGTGTCCAGATGAGAGTGTGGAACAGTGGCAGTGGAATTATCCATAACCTGTAAAATATTATGCCTTAAAAAGAAGCTACTATTAAATATCTGTGCAGCTACCACATGACACATATAATATAAAATCTCCAAACTTGTTTACTTATTCTACTAAATCAATACACTAAATAAATCCAGATGTTTTAATATCCTTTTGTTCTTATCTGTTTGCTTTAGGTAGCATACGCATGCTTATGCAATCATATAAATAAAGGATTTATTATGTGGGGTTTAGAATAATTAGATGGGATCTTCCTCGGGGACAGCCAACATAAACATTATGAGGGACCACTCACAAATGGATCCTCATTAAAACATTTATATTTATCAGAAGTTATTCAATAATCTGTGTCGATGATTAATAACAATGGAGCTTTAGTTGTGATTAGACTCGGATTTTAAGAGGATTTTAATTCAAATGACAATTTTGGCTTCCAGCAATCATGAAAAGATGGTAATCAGGATGAACTCACTAAATTACTTTTTTCATCATTCATTTTTGCTACAAAGCTCTCATTTTTTCTTGTCGCATGAACCAAGTTCAACCTTTTCAAAGCTCAACCTCACCCAGTTTAGTTGAGCTCTACCCAAGATGTCTGAAAGTGAGCCCTTGCTCAGTGAAATCTTCCTAGGAGGAGTAAATGTAATGAAAGTTTTTTCCTGCAGCTCTGAGGGCCTCTCACTTGATCTTCTTTTGCAGACCTTTCTCATGGGAGCCTGTGGGCAGGCAAAGAGTGGCGGTTATTCTTGTGTAACGGGCTTTATAGTCAAGAAAACAATCCCTTAAACTGGTCCCCTACCAAAGGACAACAACCCTAACCCGCCTCTTTTCTCAGTTTATATTATCTATTCTTCCTTTTAAGAACTTCTAGGGAACCACTGTTTGGTTTTTTTAGGTTTGTTCAAGCATTTATTTAAATCAGGGATCTCAAACTCATTTTATACAAAGGGCCACAAACATAAGCCACCAGTGCATACAGAGACGTTTAACTACACATTGAAGAATGAAGTGCAGTTCCAACAGTATTTCCACGTGCTATAGAAATGCTTTGGGCTTAAATTTTAAGAAATAAATGTGTAGAAATTGCCTAGAGTGTCCTGTAATTATAAAACACACAGCTTCTGTTCACAGAAAATATTCTTTTGTACGTGGATTATTGTAAGTAGTGAGAAACAGGAACTGTTTTTGTTATGCGATTGTTTATCTATTACTTAATTACTGTTGTGGAGTACGATTGGCCACAGGGACGTCTTTATCAGCAGAAAAAGCTGTAAAACACATTTAAGTCCAACAATTCATGCCCTTCACATTTTCCAAAGCTATCCAGTGAGTGTATTGGAGTCTTTGTTGGGGGAATTCTGGTGCCCGGACCTTACGTTTGACGTCCATTATTAACTGAAAAATGTAATTTTACCTCCTGTTAGAAACAAACTGTTATGTGTTCCACTGTTTCAGAGTAAACATGCTTTGTTTCCTTCTTCTTTTTTTTAAAAAAAAGAAAATGCTACAACTTCTTGATGCATTTTGCAGTTGTTGTCTTGACAAGTTTGATTTACACTATAGACCAGACTCTGCACAGGAAGTTGTTCACAGGGCAGAAAAGCAGAACAATGGGTTTTGTGTAGAAACCAAAAAGTTAATTTGCTTCTTTGTTGCTGTCTCTCTTTCAAAGCCATCCCCTCAAGGAACTCATTCACTCAGCAGATGAGGAGAAATGCCTTGAAGAACAGAAAACTGAGTCAGACAAAGAAGTGGAGACAGGAGAAGCAAAGACGATCAGGAAAGCACCCACTAAAGTCCTCCTCTACAGCCAAACAGCGGCGAACGGTTCCGCTTTTATCCCAGGTTACACTAAAGGACCTTAGAGTCAGAGTGCGGCGCCACTCTTTGGATTTTTTACTCAATTGTAAGGATCCAAAAAGCAAAGAAAGGGCACTGCTGCTGCAACTTGAGGAAGTGAGGCCACAAGATAACAGGCCAAGGGGACTGAACATGACTGGGGAAGAAAGCAACAGCAGTGCGGTGAACTTGAAGCCCTTTACTCTGAATTCCTCCATGTCAGCATGTCAGAAAAGCAGATCTGCGGTAAGAGGCGCAGGCCTTAACGGGAGGTTTGCAAAAGCGGTGGGCAGGAAGCCCGTTCACATGAGGACCTCTTCAAGAACAAAAAGCAGTGTTCGCACCACGCTCGCACACCAGACGAAGTCCAGTAACACAACTAACACTACAACTGTTTGTCACCCGGTTGAGGGCGACAAAATCTGCAGTGCAATAAAACAAGAGAATGTCGAAACTGCAATCACAGAAAGTCAAAACGGCGCGTGCGGCGGCGGCGCCGTCGAAACCAGCGTCATCACCACGGCTCAAAATCCTGCTGCCGAGCAAACCGAGCGCAAGACTATCAGAGCTTTATCCACGAGTAACACGGATGGATTGAAGAACACTGGAGACAATCCGCTAATATCTCTGAAGCAATATCTTACAGTCAATCTAACGAGGTTATCGGTGTCACAAAGTTTGGAAGTTGGAGAAAGCTGTGAAGACAGGAAAGTAAGGGTGGAGGTTAGAGGAAGGAGGATGCAGAGCCAGCGCCCAGGCCCAGCGACAGAAAAACGAGCATCCAGATTTCAGCAGAGGCAGGCGAGGAGTTCAGAGGTCTGCACAGCTGACGGTAACAGAGGGGTGAGGGAAATGTCTTTAAAGTCTCTAGATCAAACCAGTGTAAGGAAACGGCATTCGAGCGAGAGCACGGGCGACTTATCCCACAGCAAGAAATTTAGTGAAATACAAACGGCTTCGGTAGATGACAAAGATTGTATAACAAATGAACAGACGGATTTTTTAAAAGGCAAAACAGAAGGGCAGAAAGACAGTAAAAGTAACAGAAACCTAGAAGAAGTGAAAAGGTCTGATTGCAAAATGATTTCCAGCAAATGTCAAAATAATGTCCAGGATGTTAAAAATACAGCCAAGGGGGTTTGCACGCAGGAAGGATCGGGACAAATGAGTTTGAGTACGCAGCCAGTAAGTAGGCATGAAGATGATATTGTTATAAAACAGGCAAAGGTTCTGCTATCTGATATTTTAAGAAAAGATAAATCATTAATAGATGGGAGATTAAAGGGAGGTAATGTGGGACGACGGTTTTCTACCTGGGCCTCCAAGGAGAGTGCCGAGGAGGAATCAGAACAAACTGAAATAAATGGAGGCAGGTTCCGGCGTTCAGTGCAGAGGAGGATTTATAGAAGACGAAAGATAAGGCCCAGAGCAGTGAAAAGAAAAGCAGAAGATAAGCCAAGCACCAAGGGACACTTAAGCAAAGACATTACAGCTACGGTTAAGACGGAGTTGAGTCAGGAGAGTTTGGAGCCCAAGTTGCCACAGAGGCACAATGACCCACCGGCCACCTGCCTCAACCCACTACCTCACAAGTCACTGATTTCGGCTAAAACCACGACTAATCCAGACACCAATGCACAAGCGCACGCGCAGTCCAATATACCTCTGAAGAAACGTACATTTCGCAGTTCAGCACTAGATTCTGAACAAAGTCTAAACTCTGCCTTAGATCAGGTTTCTAAAAATGTTACAGAGTTGAAATCGTCTGCAGTGCTGAGGCAGGACCTCGCCCCGTCTTCAGGGGAGAGTAGCAAAGTGAAAAGAGAGAATAAAGTCAGAGTTAGGAGGACAGAAATGCAGCGGTTAGCCCCCAGAAGACACTCCTCTTTTAACAGGGTCCTTCGCTCGAGACCTGCTGAAGCTCAGCGTGGTCATTTAATGAGGAACGCTCGAAAGTGTAAATTAGAGAGGCTGGATGAGGATGACGCCGGTAAAGCACAGACACTAGAGAGCGAGCGTGCTGAGGATGTAGCTGAAAGTCCGACTTCAGATGAATTTCAAAGTAGAAATCAGGGGAAATTGATGACCCTGGAACAAAGTGGTTTGGAAGACATAAAGCCAGACTTTTTTAAAATTCGGCTTAAGAGGAGAAGAGGGAAAGTATGGGAGATGCAAAGTGCAGGGTTGGAAAACATGGCATTAAAAGCAGAAAAGGGAGATGAGTTGGGGGCATTTGATCCTTTTAAAGCTATTATGGACTCGGTGTCAATTTTAAACATGGAGATGGAGGCAGCTCAGGCTCACGTGCAGGCTAGTAAGAAGTCAAAGAGCAGATTGCATCGTTTGAAAAAAAGAGGAGAGAAGTTGCAAGCTATAAATTTCTACACTGGCGCAAAATCAGACAAGGACCTTGAAAATGACAGGGAAAACGTCTGTGGGCCCGATGTGTCTGCCAGCAACGAAGTACGATTCAAAGAGAAAATCGATAAGGACCCCGTAGTTGGAGTCAAGCAGCTGCTAGAAAAACCAGAGAGTCAGAAAAATGACAGCGCAGCCCTGTCAGCGGCAGCCCTGGAAACAAAAATCGAAGACGGTTTTTTAAAGAGTTCCTGCTTGTTTGAAAGTGGGTCACAAAAAAAGCAAGAGCCAGAACTGGACATAAATGGTTGTCCATTACCGGTAATTAAGCTGCGTAGGAAGATGGAGGATATTTGGGAGGTGGATAGTAAAGAGGAGCTCATACAGCCCGATTTAAAAGTAGAGACCATTATTAAGACAGAGATGAAGGGTCACGTTTTAGGTAAACAAAAAGGACTTTCCGATTGTTGCAAGCTCAAAGAAGAGTTCCCATCTTCGGAGAGACTGAACAACAGCTCTCTGAAAACCGAACCGCCACCATTTTCTTTGTCCCTGTCACCGCTGTCGCTGTCCTCGCCCCTCAACGACAATAAAACCGAAGTTATATCCGTAGCTGCAGACAGAATCGCTGAAAGGCCAGAGATGATCAGCGGAGGAAGGAAACAGAGGCACAAAATGGACAGAACACACAAGTGTGGGCCTGTCGAAACACCCACCACTTGCCTTAGTCACACTCTTCAGCAAATTGATAACAGTCTCTCTCGGCTTTCCGAGGGCTTGTGTTCATCTCAGACTTTGGAAAAGCCCACAGCCTCTTCTAATTCTGTCATCCAACCCCCGTCCCAGTCTCCTCCATTTGCAACAGCAGATAACATGCTTACCAGCGAGCCCAGCTTCACAAACTGCTGCGATGACATTCTTGACTTTCAGTGTCTCAACTTTGAGGGCTATTACCAGCCACAGAACATGCTTCCATCTTCCCCATCAGATCTGTGTTCCCTGGATCCTCCTACAGATCCTTTCAGCAGTCCCCTCTCTCACAGCCCTACCGACACGTGGACCACGGAAACGCCATACCTTGGCCCTCCCAGTCCTGGAAATAACTTTACCAGTGAGGATCTGCAGTTTTTTCCAGGCCTAATGCCTTCCAAAAGTGACTCAGTTCCTCTGGAATGTGAAGCAAAGGATACCTCCAAAGACAGAAACCCACCCAACACCAGTTTCAGTTATTCAGCTCTGGGCAACCCCGACTTGACGGCTAAAGATCGAATTATAAGTAAAAATCCGGGAATGAGGTTTTCCAAAGAAGACTTAAAAAATCAGTCTTTCATGGCACCCAATAAGCCCCGTTTTATGGGTGCGCCATCGTCTTCGGTTACAACTCAAAGCCCCGTTACTTTACCCCACCCTGCCATGAACATAAAGCCAAGCACCAGCCAATCAAGAACCCAGGCTAACCTCAAAACCCAGGGTCCCTTCCATCGTATGACCATTCCCAATAAATCCCAGTCGTTTTCCAGCAATCAGCCACAGCCAAACGCAGTTAGACCAGTGTCCCAGAGCTGCTTAACAAAGCCCGTACAGTCGTCTCAAATGTCTAACAAATTCCTCTCTCCTCAGCTCTTCACTGTGAAAAATCCCAACCCTCCCGACAATCCATTCAACTTTCCCGAGAAAACCTCTACAGTTATCCACAGGGTGCTCAAGTTTCAGGGGGGCAACCAGAGTCAGAACTTGTACAGCGCACCTTGCAAAGACGCCGCGGCTGCCGGCAGCCCGACCGTCTCGTCCAGAATGCTAGGTGCAAAATCAGGTGCTATGGAGAAAACCCAGCAGAGTCCAAAGTTCTGCTTTACTGCAGACAGTCATCAGAAAGGCAACTTGTCTGTTCAGGGGTTCGAAAAGGACGTTCACCTCGCTTCCTCCAACAGGTCCAACATTCATTTCAATAAACCCAACTCCTCAATTTCTCATTCTTATAGTAAAGCTAAGATGTCATCAGACAAACATGAAAGTGCCGAAGCCAACATGGCATACAAAAACTTTTCTATCTTGCCAAGGCAGTTCTACTTTCCTAGCAAAATGTCAGACGGTTATTCAGCACCGCACGAGAAAAGCATGAAACAGGATAAATCCACTACGCCGACCTCAGACAAACACCAGCCGTGTTACACTCAGCAAGACCCCTTTGATTTCAGTTTTGGCACTTCTCTTTCGCCCATGTCTCAGCACAACAGCCCCCAAGTGGTTCACAATACACCACCTGCTACACCAGCACCAGCAAACAAGTCCTCCGCCCCCTCAGCCTCGTTCCCTTACGGCTATCAAGGTCCTCCTTACGTACTAAACTTCAGCGGAGACCATTCTTTGACCCTGGGTCTCAGGGATGGTGCTGAAGGCTACCCAGGACTGGGCTCGACAAACTACACCTACCACTGCCTGATGGAGCCTTCGGGCACACAGGGGCGGCTGGTCGTCGAGCCCTGTGGACCCCAGCTCTCCAACCCAGCTTCTCTGGCTGGATTTTCAGGGCTCAAAGGTCACGACGAGCACTGCAGGAAGGATATGCAGCAGCAGTGCCACGCTGGGGATCACCAAGGCACATCACACTATGGACCTGTTACAACATCTCACTCCATGGGTGCCACAAAACCCAAGAGGGTGAGGTTAGTGGTGACAGACGGCACAGTGGACTTAGATCTTCAGTACTCGGACTGAATTAGTCTCCCAATCCCAGAATACAATTGGGAATATATCGTGTCTGTTGCACACACAGATGCGCAAAAACAGTTTTGTAAGAAAAAAAAAAAAAGCTTTTAAAACTGACTGACATTTTTTCAAAATAATAATTTTAATTGACTGATAATGCTAACATGTACAGGGTTTTATGTAAAGCAAAAGTACGAGTGTTTTAATTGCTGTCCGATTTTCTTTTCTCAAATAGTATGTCCACTAAAATTTCCTTAGATTACCAAATTTCCAGTGTATAAATAAAACAAAGCATTAAATATATTTGTGTCTGGGAGGCCCTGTAAACATTTAAAGCCCTCTTCGTGTACTGTAACATAGATGTATGCATTTTTCTACACCCCGTAAGGCAGTAGAGGCAGGAGCCACCGTCACCGGTTGCTGGTACTTGTATTGGTGATTTTAAAAAGGCAGCTTTGTGCCTCAGTCTTTGATATGTTCTTGTGACTTTTTGAAGTACCCATAGAAACACCCTCTACCCTCAATTTTATACTCACAGTAAGCTTTTCTCACTTGGTGTGTGTTTGTGCGTGCGTGCGGGTGTATGTGTGTGCGTGCATGCATTTGACAGGCAGACCTGCAGGTGTCGAGGGATCAAAGTGTAAGGTGTGCGTCGCCGCACCCGATCACGCGACTGTCGCTTTGCCAGGTTTAGCTAGAATCGTTAGCGCGTGAACGAAAGGCTCGTGCATGAACAGTGTACAGTTAGCGACTTCATCGTAGGACAGTTTTCCTGGGTGACGACGGGTTTCATCAGTGTCCCGGTGTGGACGAGTGACTGAGTGAGGAACTGCGATTTGGTTTTTTCTTGCTAAATGAATCGACATCTCTAACAAGGCTTCATCCAGGTGGCAGACTAAGTGACAATCTTCTCACTTTTGTCCTTTATTTGGTCTCTTTTTCGAAGAAGGAACTGAAGGAAACAATGCCGCAGCAGCAGTTACTAATATTCTGTCGTTGCTGATGGAGCTACGCATCCGTAGGTGTTCATATTGTAACCACAGTTATTTGCTGTCGTTGGAGTCACGTTGTGTCATTACTGTATGTTTTACATCAGTGAGTGGGAGCATTCAGTGTGACTGCACAGCCTTACATTACTACCATCAAAATGTACTGTCTTGATATGGAAAGGCCAATTATTTATTTTAATATCCTCATTCTTGAAAAGGTGCTTTAATGTAATTTATATTTCACATTGATTGTTCAAGCTATTAAATGTTTGTATTATTATTTAATGGGACAAAATACTGAGCTGAATATTTACACTGAGTATTTAAATTCAAAGCTTTTCACATCTTATCCAGTTTTTCAGTTGTTACAGGTGAAATGTTCTCTTTCTTATTGGCAGTTAGTCTCATTGAAAGTCTGCTGTAGAAAATGTACAAATGTAGCCTATATCATTAAAGACACTTAATTCTTTTTTTGGTATTTTCTTTTTTTTTACTGCTTCTTGTATTTTTTTGTTGAACAGCAGTGGGAAACCATTCAGAAACGACAATCTGCTCCAGCTGGCTGATTCTCAACATAAATGGGTCTTTTTCATTTTCCCTTAGATGCACGAATCTTCCAAACTTCAAAAAGGGTTCCCATGTGTTTATATGAAAGCTAATCTGTTCCAGAGTATAATTTGCTCTGTTAGTTTATTTTAATCCCTTTACAGTGGAAAAAAAAAAATTGGGGAAAGCACAAACTATATATAAAAATGGACGTAGCCATCACAATGTGACCCTGTAGTTTCCGAGCGCTGCATTTTGAAGGCTCAGTGTTAGCGTTTTACCCACATCCATGTTGGTATTTTGGAGCTAGTTGTTATAGCGTAGCAGATAACATTAGAGGAAAACTGTTCACAGGTGGATACTAACTACCAGAATTAGTACATAAGCTCTCTTTTTGATAAAGGGCCATTAGGCACCCAACTCTAGCTCAGGAGTTTTTCAGTGACAGAAATGAGCTTCCACAGTAATGTGCAGTAGCACAAGTAAAAGAAATAAAGAGAGAAAAATGCTGCTTGTGTGAATGCAAACAGAAAACAAAGTTTTAACATGCGAGTCTATGAAGATTGACAGACTTTTAGACACAGCCTCAAGTAGCTGTTAAAGGAAAAAAGGGCTAAAACAATTCTAACAACATTTTAACGTCTTGTTGGTTTTCTCAAGGGCCCATGTAATCATTTAGTCCATTAAACATCTTGTCAGGGTTGTACCTTCTTGTATCATTTGTTCTGCGTCCCCTGATTTAATCATCATTATCTTGCCGTTAGTCTGTCCGTTGTCTGTCGATCTTTCACTTCCTGCCCGCTACAAGGAGCCAGCAGCTGCTTTTCTTAGCACTAGGAGCAAACAAATGCACCCAGTTCCCTTAACTGGAACCAGGAAACCCAATATTTATCCTGGAAATACCCAACCACCTTTTAAAGTAGTTTAGAATTATTTAGTATCAGTCTGGTTTATGGTCTAAATTAAACAGTTTCAGTTTATCCCCTGATGGTTTCGTGCTCATTTTCAACACTTTATGCAGATTTGAGACACAGCACCTTTCGGAAAACCAGGAAGACAACATTTCCTTATAAGTGATCAAACCAGCAACACTTCTGAACCTCACAACTTGCATTGTTTTCTGTGTTTTTCCATCCATAATTATCAACCTGCCCGCTACAGGGAGCCAGCGGCTGCTGACTGTCATCACAGCACTGTGTGAATATGTATTCTGTGGGTAATTATTACAAAAGAATCAGCACTTGCATGAACCTGTTATTCATATTCATGCTCTGGGAGTTAAAAAACAGACCTGCCTGTATAGTTATATAGTTTTGCCCTTCACTTCTTTAATGGTGTTACACAAATGATCTAATATTAGAAAAAAAAAGTGTTGATTTTACAATACAAGTAAAATATTTCATCTTGTACGAGTATACAGCGTGATGTACTCATCAAAGCATTCAGTCAGAAGAAGAAATTCAAATAATTTAATCATAAGATTATGTCAAGTGCAAAGAATTCCTTTTTACTGTCAGTTAAAACTCCTTTGCATTCACCTTCGCTTTGCTTCATTTTCTATCCTGCTCTAATTTATTCATCTGGTTAATTTCACAGCTCATGGCCATTGTTCACCCTCCTGTTCAGTGCTCAGCCTTTAGCTCCTTCCTCTCTACCTATGCTTTCATCCTACCCAACCAACGCTTTTGCGTTCTTCTCTTCTTCCCCTCCTCTCTTTGAACATATGACCCACTTCTTTCTTTCCAGCTCTCGGTAGCAGACGAGCAGTTAATTCTGTTGCCAACTATAACAGTTTTCTCATAATGAGGACAGAAAAAAGAGAGCGAGAGAGGGGGAGATTATCCGTTATGGCAGTGAGGACACGGTGCAGTTAAAGAGACAAAAAAAAAGGGAGAAAACTGTGACAAATTTTAATATTAAAAGACAGTTTTTCAGGCTGTCATAGCTGAATGCACGTTTTTATTCTGCTCAGATTTACGCATTTACGGTTTGGTTGCATCGAATGATCAGTTCATGATTTCACAGGGTGAGTCAGATTCATGTCATCAGCAAAATTTCCCCTTTCATGGATTGCATCATTAGGCTCTTAATGCACGTGCGCATGTGTGAGAGGTTGAGGTGGAGATGGTTTTTAAGTACCCGCTGAGCAGAAATCGGCAGGCATATAAGAAAAACACAGGCTAACCACACATATTATCATGGATCTATTGCAAACGTGTATTTTCGGTAGGTATTTAACTGTTTGTGAGTCTAAGAGGAGAATACAGTGGCATGCAAAGAGATATTAAAAACTGTCGTCATCAAGTTCTTTATTTACCTTTTTCTGCATGAAAAATTCATCGACAGTGAAAATCTGTTGTTCATCACATCAGGAGCGAGATTTTAGTGAAACTGTAAATGCTGTGCATGAATGTTATGGTGTGAAAACGAAAAGGCACCAAACAACTTTGGGTGAAGACCTATTAGGTCGATCACTGTGTGCAAGTGACACTAAAATCTGACCAACGCTGCAGATGGAACAGCAATTCTTGTGAACTGCGGACGGAAGGATGACCCAGCTGCACCGCGGTGGGAGCTAATGTTAACAATAGCTTTAAATACAGTGCTTAAACACACAAGCAAAATGCAAAGAGAGCAAAAAGCTAAGAGGCGTACAAGAAAACTCCAATTTGCAAAAGACAAATTGTCAGTATAATTTATAAATACTAACTGAAGCAATAAAACAATAGAACAGTAAAGATAACACACCAGAAAATTGTAAATGATACATGAACAATAAAAAGGGCAATAAAACATGTGTTTTAGGAGGAGATTGACTTCAAGGTAAGTAGCTTAATACTTCCTTCTGTATTGTATAACTGTAAATGTACTTCTCGGCTGCTTAGATGCTGCTCAGCACTGCTTTTTCCTTTGTCTTCTCCCTTATGCAAAATACAGCAGACTTCCGTTCTGTGGCACATCAAATATTTTCCAGCCAGGGTTTCCACACTTTTAATTATTCATTGACGCGTCCCTTTCATCTTACTCACGCGTACGTCGCAACTCCATTATACTCAAACTGCAGCACATGCTCAGCGTGCATGCATGTAGACACGTGACGCCATGTTCCCTCTGTTCACCACTCTGGGGATTATAATCTGTCATGTGCATGACAACTGTAGCCCTGCAAAATGGCTGGCTGTGTGAAGATGTTGTAGGATTACATTTGAGTGTAGACTACTGGTGCCATCGTCATCATCGCCAGCAGCAGCGGCAGTGAAGTAGCACGAAAACACCCCAAGAAACAAGTTGAGGCTGAGAAAAGAGGGGAGAGAGAGCTTTGGAGAGGTTATTTCCCAGGTGACAGGTGGCCCAGGCTTCAAATGACCGGCTGCTGGCTGAGGTGTCAGTGCATTAGTGTAAATTATGACTGTAACAAAACCCCATGTGTCCGACAGAGCGAGCTGAATAAATATGTCAGCTGCACAAGATGGGATATTGCTCTGATGTTTATTGTACCTATCTTTCTGTATTAAGTCTGAATGTTTGCTAAGAAAGCAACTCCACTTTTTCCCGTGTTCAAGCCACAGCCTCATGTGTCTTTATAGATCAAGGATGGCAATACTTTTTTTTTTTTTAGCTTACTGGAACTGTTTTTTACTCTTAAGCTGTTGACTCTGTCGGTCCAGCCTGAAGCTGATAAACAAAAAAACAAACCCTTCGATCTGTGCACTCCTCTTCTGCTTTTTCTCTTTGCACATCCTCATTTCCTGTTCACATGTTTTATTTGTATTTATGACATGTGGTGGAGCTGCGTTATCTTTGCTACTAGATTTTATGATTTCTGAGGTCAGATGAGCTTATTGGTGTTTGGCCAACGTTTAAATAAGACCTGCTTTAAAATAATGTGACAAGAACGATGCCATGTTTCTTTTTAAAGTTACCAACCACACAAGTGGTGAACTGCAGAAAGTTTCGCCATGCAGCTTATCATTTTTATAACTAAAGAAACTCATGAATAAAATGGATACTTAGTTGTATTTGATATTTCAGCTTTGTGCAAAGCCTCTTTCATGCCTCGGGAGTAGGAATGCTTCTCCAAAGGATCAGAGCCCATCTATGGGAGCCCTTCCTTTTCCCTGTTAATCCCACTGAGCAGAAATTGTCTGCAGTTCAGCCACATGTGCAGCAGGCGGCGCTTCCCAGTGAAGCTAAATACAAGGTAGCTTTGTCCAGTTCCTGTCATCTCCCAAGTGTCAGCTAGAAATCTTTCTGAGTGGTCTAACTCTCTGACAGCAGCTAGTTTGGTCACTGAAAGATAATTACCATATTTATCAGACATGCAAAGTCCACAGTAGAAGATTGGAGAGATGATGGGAAGGAAGGAGGATCTGGGGGGATCTTTGTACTTTGCACCGTCTTGCTTTTTTACTTTCACTTCCACTTGTCGGTTATATTTAGGCAATAAAAAAACGACTTTGGTAGTTTGGCTTGACTCCTTTACAACACTAACCATGTGCTGGAAGTGACCAATTCTCTTTAGCTGCAGTAAATATATCCCTGGGATGAAAAGGGCCTGGCTTAACAACTAAAATAATGATGTTTTTCTGCTTTGTTTTAGTTTCATTAATACAATAGTGTTGGAATGTAAATAATATGACACTGATTGTTTTGTTTTGTTTTTGCAGCAGTTTTGAATTAGTGCTCTGCAGAGAACCCTTGTTGGCGAGCACAGCAGTAAGACATTTCTTGTTGTTGGTCTCCAGGTTTGCACACATCTCAGGAGGAATTTTGGCTCATGCAACTTTACAGAAACTCTCCAAATCCTTTAGGTTTCTTGGTTGCTGCTTGAGAACTTTAAGCTTCGACTCCCTCTGCAGATTTTCTGTAGGATTGAGATCTGTAGGATGGCTAGACCATTTCATGACCATAATGTATTTTTTA